TGTAAATTTATCAATTAAAGCGCAAGCTACAGTTTTCGAGCGTATATATAAAGTACCTATTAGTCTTGTTAAAGGGCTCTATTTGCGCCGATTTTTGAAAACGGTAAACTCAATATTTTAGTCAGAAAAATATTGTCTCAAGATTTCGCTAATAGATGTCCAAACCTTTGTGCCACCCAAGAACAAAATCTTAAGGCTTGCACAATATTTTTCTCTTCGAAAATTATTATATCATGAAAGACGTGCGCCACTCCTAAGATTTAATGGAATTAGCGGGGATCTATCAAACTCGCTGTCGAGAGATTTGAGTTCCAATAAATTCCCCGAATCGAACGTCGATTAGTTTCATGTCACGTGGCTGTAAGGTCCTGTGTTGGCGTCTCGTTTACATATGGTTTCACATCTTTAGAAAATATTAAGATTGTAGCAATAGGGTGGTTCAATAATAATTCCGTGCGATTCAGAAAGAATCTTGTTAATTAAACATACATTTTCCCACCAAATATTTTATTATTTGCAGGGCTTAGGAGGAGAGGGGGTGGGGACGGGTGTAAAATATGTCTTAGAGTTTGGGATAAATGTGAAGTTGTTTGAATGTTTGTATAATTTGTTAATCTTTCTATCAAAGTTTTCTAAGAATATTTACTAAAAAGTCTGATCGATTCTAAAACGTGATTATATAAATGTATTTTTTTTCACCCAATGGGGAATGTTTTTAAAAAAATAGGATATTAATAATATAAATATTTACATGTGTTTTATTAAAAATTTATGAACCTTTTCATGATATATTTTTTATATATTAAATGATGTTAAATATTATTATTTTTTGACAACATTTAATAGTTTAGATTTTTCCTAAATCGAAGGCCATTCATTCCAACCCCGGTCAACATTACCCCCTATCTCCTTTTTACGCTAAATAATATATTGCTATTTTATTTTTTTTTGTATATAAAAATTATTAATTAAAATTCTAAACAAAAAAAAACTGGTAATTAAATATGGCTAGCACATTTTTTGGGAAACACTTTTTTGTAAAAATATATTTTATATTTATTGTATAATTATTATACACCACTACTTAAATTTATATTATTATATAATCTAATATTTATTATAATATTCAAAAGTTTTTAAAAAACATTTTTTAAAATCAATAAATAATATAAATAAATATTTTATTAAAGAAAATATAAAATTTGGTTGTATATTTTTAAAAATAATTTATAAATTTTCGATTCTTAGAAACCTGAGGATCGTTTCTACTGAATTATATTCATACTTATTTAAAAAAAGGTAGTTCTATAGAAGATTATTTTAAGTATTTTACGATATTTGGATGTTCTTATATTCCTGGAGATCTTCATTTCAAAATTTCAAAAAAAATAAAATAAATAATTCTTGAGAAATTAAAACGTTGTAAGTAAGTGTTTAAAAAAAAATTATTATACATTTTTTTTCAATTCTTCATTCTTAGGTTTTGTTTAAGAAAAAATTTAAGAATACTTTACATATATATTGGCGCTATCGCTAAATTTTCCGCGAATACATTATTAGCGTTTGGTATTAACCGCTAACGCTTTCCGCTTATATATTATGTAACGAAAAACATTTACCCTCATTGCATTATTAAAACGGATGTAAATATATAAACGCGGAGTCAATGAGTTTAAACGCAAATATAATCGCGATTCACATTTCTTCTTATGGCGGAAATATTAAGGGAATCGGGTATTATCGCTAAAACATTATGGGGAATTCATTACAGAAAATGTATTAAAAATGCCTTGCAATTTCAGCTCAAGACCCAGTGTGTGCTAAGCTCAGATTAGCGTAATATCTAAATTGTGTATCTTGCTTTCGCAGAACTATCGTTTGTTGTGATTATTATTATTTTTTTGTATTAAAGTGTAAAGCCATAGTAGGGAAAGTAAGATTTTTCAGTTAAACATCGATGCCGATTTGGAATTGAATCATTAAAGGACCCCCTACGTACGTTTTCAACTGCGGTCATTTCTTACATCCCCAGTTGTTACTCCACTGCCAGTCTGTAAATCGGGAGAACTTATTGTTCGCGTTATTATATGCGCTCCTAAGCAATCACCAAATATATTCTATTAACCTCTTTTCAAAATAATTTTTTCCCTCTTCCCGTCTGATGAACCAAATAATGATTAATGTGATATGAAAAGATATCGAGGTAACAATAATTAAGGTCGGAGAAATAAGAAAAGATTTTCTAAATGGCATAATATACGGAAAAAGATTATACGCCAACAGACCTAGGGTGATACAATAAAGGGGTTGTTTGGCACGGAAGGAAGAGAGGGGTTCAAGCTTATTTTATTTGTAAGTTCAAAAGCACGAATCCATTATATTATTCCAATATAAGTCAGTTTATCCCTTTTAATTTTTACAGTTACATATAATAATCGACAATATTTTATTGGGGAATTTTTTTTCAATCATCGCAAAATAATCTAAAATATAATCCATAATCTACCAATATTTTGTCGGGGTTTTTAATTCCATAATTCACAATATTTTTAAATAACCTTCTCATTTTTGCTATGTTTGTGGTTGTTGACCATTTATTTATTTTATTAAGAAAAAAAATTAAATTTTTCAAGATTTCGTTAAAAAAGAATAACTAATTTCGGAACATGGTTTTTATTCTAGACAATAAGAAATGGGCAGTAATTATCATTTTTTAAAATATTATTAGAGACCTGTAGATGTGCCATTAGCACTGGCCGGCCCAGAAATTTAAAAAATTTTTTTTTTGCCCAGACCGACTTAGCCCGGGTATAACGGACCGGGGCTGGAGGTATCTGATTTTTATCGCTTAATTTTTCTTCGAATTTGAGAATCTTGTGAATTTTTTTTTCGAAATTTAAAACTTTGAAGGAAATTTTTATTAAAACTGTAAACACTTCGATTAACCTGCGAATGCCGAAGGTAGAATAAATTAGTTATTTACTTTATCATCTAAGTTTCTAATTTATTTTCTTGTAACGTAAACAAGTAGTGTTGTCAAACGGCTCGCTCATTATTTTAGCCAGAAATTGCTTTAAGCCTCGAGATTAAAACCTTTGCTACAAACAAAGCCTTCAGGACTTTCGTAATAGTATTCTGGATAAAATATTGAGTTAACCGTATTTTTTTTTTAAATTCAGCTCGAAACGTGCCGTTAAACAAACACAAATTTTAATTTTACATTAGTAAATTAATTAATTAAAAGGTAATGTAAATGATTATATTTTCAATTAATATGAAAAAAAAATTTTTTCATTTCTCCCAAAGGTGGCATATTTTATTTTGAAAAAAAAATTTTTTCCGCGAATTTCTTGGACGGTTAGAAGTAGTGTTGTTAAAAGGCTCGTTTTGAGCTGATTTTTTAAAAACGGCTAACTCAATATTTCATACAGAAAAATGGCACTTATGGCTGAAGATTTTGCTCTTAGAGGGAACAAAGGTCTAGACATATATTAATCTTAGAGGGAACAAAGGTCTAGACATATATCAAACGAAATCTCGAGGCTTAGGGATAATTTTTCTGGCTAAAACATTGAGTTAGCCGTTAAAATCGACTCATAACTAGCCGTTTAACAACACTAGAGTTAGAAGGTTAGATAGGCAAGGTGTGGTGGGGGGGGGGAAGGGAAGTTTAAAAGAATGTCATTTATAAGCGCACATAAATGGTTTAATAAGATTGGTCCTTTTTTTTAGCTAAAATCCAAAGGGTCCATTGTTTTATAAATCATAAATAACCCAAATGACATATAATGATACCTAGATTGACGATGCATTCATTAAAAGTTTACGTATATGAAAAACAGCTGGGGATGCCATTTTGATAACCCGTATCATTATTTAAAAAATTTTAAACGAGAGACCAATTTATTTCTATATCTCGACGCAAACTTCTTAAAGAATTTCCCGATCATCGGGATGATAAGGATGCAAGGTTAACCATTTAATAAATGATAATATATTGATATAAGGGTTTACCAAAATGGCGATTTCAGCTGATTTGCATTCAACGACGCTACTCAATATTTAATCTAGACGGATTTTGTTTATAGAAGGAACAAAAGTTTGAACATCTATTAGCAAAATCTTGAGACTTAGGCAATATTCTAGCTAAAATAATGAGTTAGCCGTTTTTAAAAATCGGCTAAAAACGAACAGCCGTTAAACAACACTACATCAGAACATTTATCTGAAGGAATTGAAAATATTGTCCATTATGATTAATTCACTCCCACAAATAATTCAAATTAAATTATTGCCCCCTTTTTTGTTTTGTTCTGTTTTTTTTGTTTTCTATACGTTTTAAAAAAACTGGAAAAATTTAATTTGTAGAATTTAAATGGAAATATAAAAATGGAAGAAAAAACATATGGTGCGAAAAATTTGTTTTTAAAAAAAATAATAGATTTTTACTCGAATGAATTATGACCGTTTATTCATTTAAAAATGCATTGAAAGGTGAGCAAGTCATTTAGTAAATGTTAAAGGCATTTAGGCGAAATATATCTACACCAATCAAATGACATCATTATCCGCTGATATCAATGTAAACACATTTTTGATAAATTAATGGCCAGGATAGGTTACTATTAATGTCATCGCATTTCCCCACTTAATTGTCTTTATGGCAAGCAACCGAATATCTTAAAAATATGTCTTTTTATCCATTTAATATATATATAAAAATCGATATACAACTTTATATAATATTTAACAAATATCAAAATTTAAAAAAAAACACACGCATTTTTTATGTGGACCTAATTGCATTTTATTAGTTATTTTTTTTTAACATTTCTAACATCCGCCCATGCAACTACTATAAGAAATTAGATTTTTTTAATTTTCCCCCATTTATAAAAAAAAATTAAAATTAATATTAATTTTTAATCGAGCACGTATTGGCAATATTAATTTTTATTTAAAAATTTTACTCAAGTCGCAAATATAATGAGATGAGTGTTGTTTAACTACCTAACTTTAGTCAAATATAAAACAGCGTATCCATGTTTTTTATTCCAACAATATTCCAATCAAATCTCCAAGTTGAGAGACTCAGACGCCACAATAGAGATGGTCAAGTAATTTAACAACACTATAATGGTGTACATATATTTTAAATATACATGTTATTTTGAGGCAATTTTTTTATAAACGGCTACCTGAATACTTTGGCCAAGAAAAAATACTGCTTAAGCTTTCAAGATTTCTTCCAAACAGATGTTCAAAACCTTTGTGCCTTTCTATGAGCGAAAAATCTTAGGGCTTGCGTAATATTTGGGATAAAATATTGAGTCAGCCGTTTTTAAAAATAGGCTAGAATTGGAACCGCTTAACAACACTGCATTTTATGAGACTGCTGGCCTCATTTATAGTAGACGCGTTATGTTCAAGCGTTGCGTTATTTAACGTAGCTTTTATTAACAAAATCAAGCCGATAAATAAGTATATAACTTATAAATATAGAGCGCTATGATGGTAACGCTACGATGAAATTTGGAAAATAAACATATGTTTGAGCGGTATTTTTCAATAATTATTGACACCATCAAGAATCACCCGTGATTTATTTCAGTAGCGTTATGTAACGCGACACTTGAACATAACTCGTTTACCATAATTGAACCCTAACAACGCTCACAAAATTGACCGTTCGGGTTTAGCTGTGCTTCTATAATATAAAAAAAAACGTAACGCATACCATATTTAAAATTGAGATTGTCTTGCTTTTTAAAATTGAGCGTTTACGTTTTGCCGTAATTTTTAAATAAAATTACCAATTTTAAACACATTTTTATATTATAAAATTATTAAATCTATTAGAAAATATTTTAAATATTAAATTGGGAGATTTTAGATGGTCAAAATATGGAAGGCTAAGATTTATGATCATTCAATCTTATATCGTGTCTTCATTTTTTTTTGGCATCAACTTTGAATGAATAGCATGATGATATCTTCCCTTTATCACTTCCTATAGATAACCTTTTTCATCATGTAAAAATAAACAAAAACACCTCTTTTTGTGATCAATTATTTAAATTTCTTAGTATTTACTATCCGAGTTAATCACCCCATGATCCTATATACCGTTATAATTCGCTATTTGTGATACCATTACAAATAAAGTTGGATTATTCTTATTTTTCATTAGCTATAAATGTGGTTGGAAGCATTGCAAAGCCGCCACCTATTTTAACCGTTTATCAGAATATGCCACCAATAGATATAAAATCTATTAGCCATATACGTAATATGTCAAGGCCGACCATATAAGACACGCGGCGGCCAACGAACGGTACATTTTAGAGAATGCTATTTTGTCATCAGATGGGGACCCGAGAACAGGTGATTTAATTTCAGTGACCTTAGTCTTCACGTAAATCCTTAATTTCGGAGCTTCTCAGTGTCTCCCACAAATGTCAATTCAAATCGCTATTGATGTATGATGAATCAAAAACTTATCCCTTCCCTAGGAGACATACAAGACGTAACTCGAGGGTCATTGCCAGAACCCAGAGATTTTTTTCCCCTAAAAACAGTTGATATTAAGCGGTTTTAATTAGAATGACCATTAGTGTTTGCAACGATCCGATCTTCCGGTTCGGGCCTTTATTTCTAAAACGAGACCAGACCAATGCACCGCTAAGTCAAATGAGACCAGACCGTACGACCTTAGGTCCAGTCCGGTCCGGTCGGTCCAAATACTAATGACCATTTTTGTTTATATTTAATTTACATATAAATCATTTAAAAATTGAATGAAAATTTTTTTTATGTTAAAGGTAATGTAAAAACATGACGATAAAAGCTTTTAATGACGTCGGTGTTTTATGGCATGATGACAATTCAATTACTAAAGCTTAAATGTTGTGTAAGAAAGTTCTATAGTGTTATATATATTTTTTTATATTTGATATATAAAAATGAAATATATATAAACTACAGCTTAAAAATTTAACCCCCCCCCCCCCCCCTTTTCCATCCTTCCACTGAAATCGTTTATATATATAAAAATTCTTTCTATTCTTAGCTTAATCCCATATTACAAATTTTGGAGAAACTTAATTGAAACTATTAATAAATATAAAGCAAAAATTTTTTTCCCCCACTACACTTTTTTTATGATTTAAAATTATTAACCTATATTAAATATCTTTGTATTACACAAGGAGGTAGAATTGTTGATGATCAATAAGAGTACAGATAAATCATAATTAATAGCTCATACCATCAAAAATAAATGCTTTAATTGATTGATTAATATTTTATTTTTTGAACAGAAACTTAACCAAGACAGTCTAGTTCCTAGACTAGACGAGATATTATATTATATTTGTATTAATTATAATCTTTTTTATAAATTCCTTAGATTATATGATGGATACCATTTATCCCTTATAATATAATCTATTCCTTTTAAAATCTGTATTTCCCCTTTTCCTAACCCATCACATTCATTCACTTTATATTCACTTCCCCCCTTCCAACTACCTTTCACGAAAGAAATAATGTGGTACAAAGTTTAAAGCTATACTAGTTATCTCTGATGTCGGGGGGAATCTAAGAGATCTTGGAACAGGAATCCACTGTAGAGAATTGGCATTTTTTATATACGGCTCGTTTTGAGCCGATTTTTTAAGACGGCTAACTCAATATTTTACCCAGAAAAATATTGCCTAAGCCTGGAAACTTCGCCAATAGATGTCAGAACCTTTGTTGCTTCTATGAGCAAAATCTTCATGCTTGTATAGTACATTTCTAGATGAAGTATTAAGAGAGGTATCATTAGAACGGCCGAGTCCGCTTCGGATTTATATTTTTATAATCGACCCGGCACTGATTTTTTTCCAGGCCCGACCCGGATATTTTTAAATATATAATACATTTAATTTTTATAGATGATAATGTCGAATTAAAAAAAAATTAAATTAAAATAGGGCTTGGTCCATGTAACCCCGGACTGATTTAGGGCCAGGCTGTAGGTCTCTTCTAATTTTATAATGACTTATACAATATAACCCCCCCCCCCACCTTATTTATCGGTTTTTATGAGAAACCAAATAAGCATAATTTGTAATTTTATTAAAATTTTTGTTGTTGTAATGTTGGCGGAGTTTAAAGTGATTCGTATTGCGCTAGAGCTTCACGCGAAGGGCAGCGGAACCACGCTGACTAGAAGCTCAGATGGTGGAGAGATAGGGGGGGGGTGAGGGGTGAGGATCGAATCGTCATTGAAATGATTGATTAAGGAGTAGAGTTGAAGCTCTTTTTTGGCATAGAGGATTGGGTCAAGAAGACACCGAAGTGAAATTATAGGCTGGATAATCCCCTAAAATATCTAGACAAAATTAAGCACGTTTCTGACCCTGCCAGTTTAAAATTTTTTTGTAATTTGTTATTAAATAAAAATAAATTTTTAGAAATTACGCACACCCAGAAAGCATAAAATTATTTTATTTCTAATGAAAATATGTATTAATGTAATAAGTTAATATAAAATAAATTTTTATTAATATTATTTTATTTTTACCAGTATATTTCCTTACTATAAAATTTCAAATTTTTAAATATTGATTAATTTTTGAAGATATTATAACATATTAAGTATAATGGGTTGTCTTTTATAAATAATAAATAAAATTCATCGTTTGGATGTAAATTTTATTAATTTTTATTAAAGGTATTTAAAAAATTTTAATTTTATTTTTAATCTTTACCAATTATCTTAAAATAATTTTGATGAACAATTACATTCATAATTTATATATTTTTATAGTTATAAAATCGTATAAACGTATGATGCATTAAGACCTATGAAAGGAATATATTATTATTTTCTGATAAATATGATGGATAGATATAAATGGTAATTAGTAGAAAATAGCTCCTTTAATTATTATTATGATTCCTGCTTGCAAAGACCGCGCCCTTATATGGTTGCGTGAGAAATAATTTTTATAAGACCTTAAAAGAAAGAAGAAAAAAAAACAAATAAAATTGTTAACTTTCTTGAGGCCTCAATCAAAGGAAAAAGATGGCGCGAGATAAATCTCAATTTAAAAAAAAAATCACGGCCAATTGGTATTATCGGTAAACATAAATAGTATCGGCCGATACTTAAACGATAACATTTCGATACATCTTTAGTTTGTTTTGTGGAATACCCTTTTACGTTAGTTTTTTTTTATTCCCCAGAAAAGTATATATTAAATTTATATATATATTTTAAAAAAAATTAAAACAAAACCCCCTTATATATATTTATTTTTTTTTTGAAATTTTAAATAAAAATGAAAGAAAAAAAGAAAGAAAGAAAGAAAGAAAGAAAGAAAGAAAGAAAGAAAGAAAGAAAGAAATATTCAGTTGGCGAACAAACCAAGAACCAAATTGTAAATCTTTTATTATTAGAGTATAGAGCATGCTATTTTTTTTAAAAAAAATATTTCAAATAGTACATAATATATAGTAACTGGATTTTGATCATTGGGGATAAACTAAATGGCGTCCCCAGCTGTTTTTCATTGATGTGCCACTTTTAATGAATGCATCGTCCATATGCCATTTGATTTGACTGGAGAAACTATGCTCATAATTTCTTTTTAAATTATTAAGAATGGGATTTTTCATACCTTAAAATTCGTAAGGGTAAATTTACTTTTATATGATATACATTTTTCGGGCCAAAATAAAATTTTTCTCAAAATATAAAAATCTTTCCTTACGTAAAAAATGATTTCAAAAATTGATAGATTCCAAATCCATATTAAATTCCTTATCCCGTTAGGATGGACATATCAATAAAAAAAACTTCCATGAATTAGATATACATATATACAATTATGAGCGCTATTTAATAAGTTATTAAATTTTAAAAAAATTTATGGCTAATAAGGTTTTTAAAAATAAATTTATTTGGTATTTATATATATTAAAAATGATTATATACATTTCGATTTTAATAAAAATTAGACAATTTGTATTTATTTTTTTTTGATCTTGATTATTACGATAAAAAACAAATTAGCACGAATTCGCGATGGTAAATACAAAAAAAAATACAGCATAACAGGGTTTTATAATGAACGCTATGTTCAAACCAAAGTTTTAAATGCTAAATAATTTTAAAAAAATTTTAAAGATTTTTAGCTTACAATTCGGAATTTTAATTTGCAAAAAATCTTTTACAAGAATGAATCAAAAAATTTTTTTTTAAAATTTTGGATGATGCTGCTCGATGGGTTCAGACTCAAAGAATAAGATGAGGTCTTAGAAATATCGGTTAGTGTTATCCGTCCCTAAACTGTCTTGTAGAGACAGATCATGTTATAAATGCGAAAACATTTTTCAAAAAAAAAATAAGCCTCTTATTATACAAATCGGTATACAGTTATAACTTAGATATAAGAAAATATTTATTAATTTAATTCTTTTTTAAAAAAAAAAAGAGACTTCCTGGCCTTTAATCTTCAAAAGAGTTTTATTTCAACTTCAATTTAAATACATTATATTTATAAGGAGGTAACTTACATTCGTATTAGTTATCTGCATCAGGCCGGGCTGACTAAGGGCCGGATTTCCTTTTCAGATCTCTAATTCGTATATTTATATACATATATTTTTTTTTTATAAATAGTAGTAAATATATAATCCTAAATGATTATGATATTTTGGCGATAGCCTTTATAAGATAATTTTTTTAAAGTTTATTCTTCGGGAAAATATTGACCTAAGCATCGAAATTTGGCCAATAGATGTTCAATCCTGTGTACCATCTACGAGCAAAATCTTTAGGCTTGCATAATTATTTTTTTTCTGGATAAAATATTGAGTTAGCCGTTTTTAATAGACTCAGAGCCGTTTAACAACACTTGTAGGTGATCACTGAATATCTTAATCTTATTTTCACAGTAAAATAATAAATTGACATAATATATACGCTTCTCACAATTTTTTCAAAGGGACAAATCCTTTTCCCCTATTCCTATGTATAGTGGTTCCATTTTGAAGCTATATATCTTTTTAATTCTATTCTTTAAAGAATTATTTAATATATACTTAAAAGCTTCTCTTTTTTTACTATTCTTTCTTTCTTTCTTTCTTTCTTTCTTTCTTTCTTTCTTTCTTTCTTTCTTTCTTTCTTTCTTTCTTTCTTTCTTTCTTTCTTTCTTTCTTTCTTTCTCTTCTTTCTTTCTTTCTTTCTTTCTTTCTTTCTTTCTTTCTTTCTTTCTTTCTTTCTTTCTTTCTTTCTTTCTTTCTTTCTTTCTTTCTTTCTTTCTTTCTTTCTTTCTTTCTTTCTTTCTTTCTTTCTTTCTTTCTTTCTTTCTTTCTTTCTTTCTTTCTTTCTTTCTTTCTTTCTTTCTTTCTTTCTTTCTTTCTTTCTTTCTTTCTTTCTTTCTTTCTTTCTTTCTTTCTTTCTTTCTTTCTTTCTTTCTTTCTTTCTTTCTTTCTTTCTTTCTTTCTTTCTTTCTTTTTTTCTTTCTTTCTTTCTTTCTTTCTTCCTTAAATAACGTCATTTTTTAAAAATTTTTAATGACCACCCTTATTAATTATGAAATATGGTAAGTTTATTCGGTAAATCATTCCACGAGGGCGTGCATGCGTATTTCTTAAGAAACTGTTCCTTAAAATTTTGAACTATAAAATCTTATTTCTTATATATGTTATAAAGTGTCAATATGTTTTTTTTCTTCCCGAGAATGTGTTATTTTTTTCAACTTTAAATCACTTATTTGAGTAAAGTCTTCCTTTTTTTACCTTTAAAAATATTTGATTTTACCGGAAATACGTTCCATCATCTTTTGAATACCTACCCTATAAATTCCAGACAATTTTACCGTAAACTTTTGAACTTAATAATAATTTATATTAGTTTTTCCATAGATCTTTTTATATAAATTATAAATGACTCAATGGTTTTAACGGTGTAAATGTCTTACAATTCATAAGATAGGTATTCCTAATGACATATATAATACCTAGACTGACGATTCATTCATTAGAATACATTTTTAAGTGTCGTTAAAAGCATACCTGCCATTTTGGTCACATATAGTAATTATTCACATGTTAAAAAACTACTATTAAATTGATAACTAGTTTCCTTATTATCTCTATGATCCGGTAATTCTTTTATAAAGTTTGCATCAGATATAATAGGAATAAATTAGGCTCTCGTTTATAATTTTTAATAATGATTAGTGTAAACAAGATGGCGTCTTCAGCCGATTTGCATTGATGTAACACTTTTAATGAATGAATCGTCAGTCTAGGTATTATATATGGCATTGGGTATTCCAAACATGATGGAATCTATTTCCGGTAAAATCCGAATTTATAAATTAAAAAAAAACGCGCCAAAAAAAACGAATTAAAGTTGTAAATATCGAAAAAAAAACGCATTGACGCTAACATAATACATTTTTCCTTGTATGAATTAAAAAATATACCCCAAACAGGGAAGAAATTGTCCTGAAATACACTAGAGTATAAACTTATTTATCTCCCCGATAAAAATCAGTATTTTTATAGAAATCTCTCACGTGAAAATGATTCTAAAACGGAAAATTTCACATAATCCTTCAAAGTGAGGATAATGGGATAAGTTAGCCACTCCAGAAGTAAAAAATGATATACAACATACAATCTGATACGAGATCTACAAATGGCTGATATTTGAATGGTGTTCAAAGTTTTGAAGGACTTGCTCTAAATATAATTAAAAATAAATAAATATGGAATCCCAACGAGCTGACTTGATCCCAAAGTCACTGCTTTTTTTTTAAAAAAAGAGACTAATAAAATTTTTTGGGGGTCAGTCTGAGCCTTTTCGAGGCCCGTTTATCCTAGATATAAAATATAACCCATAAGCGTTTTTTTTTCTTCCTAAAAAACTTTAAATTGGTTAGCTATAAATTCCCCCCTTTTTAACTTTATTTGAATTATATCAGTGGTAGACGTGTTAAATCCATCCCCTATTTCTGTTAATTTTTATTTTTCAAAAACGAATAAAATAAAGATTTTAGCGCCAAAAATATTACTAAATGAGGCCCTAGAAGGATCTGATCAAAAGAGGGAGGCGAACTTTTCTGTAAATCTATGTGTGTGCAGAACCTCTAGAGTCGTTTTATGAAAAAATTTCTTTGGCTAACTTCAAGTTTTTTTAAATGAGACTAGTCAATAGCACAACGGAAACGTTGGGCAGCTAGGCTACCGCGAGTGACTAAGTACGGAATTTTAACTTTGTCCGAATAACCAGTTAAAAGCTTTTAGTTAATGCATATTTTTAAATTTAAATGGATCAAAGAAGGCGCGAAATCATCAAAAAATAAAATTAGTTCATTTAAAAATTCACAAATAAGTTGGCCAATAATTTATCGACCAAATTTCAAAATGCTTCTATAATATATTTTGCAAAAATTCGTTTGACACTTATTTTAAAGCAATTTCCGGAAAAACGAATGGAAAGAATTGATCCTCAATAAATTCCTCGCCACCCCCCTCTCCCCCCCCCCTCCTCTTTTCCACTTTTCATTTAAAAAAAAGAAGAAATATTGGTTTTTTTATATATATATATTAAAAAATAAAATTATTTATAACAGTTATATAATTTATTTTTTATTCTTTTATTATGATAAATATTAAAAGAATAAATATAGCCATAAATTTTGATCGCGTTGAGTCAGATACATTGTAACCACTTACCTCCATGTTGTTTCGATATTTTCAATCAATCAATAATTTATTTTTTAATTATTATTTCAGGATTATAAGATTGTTTCACGATATTTATACCATATAATTTGAGAGGAGATTTAGCTCGGATCCATAGGATTTTGTCTTTTAAATTCAAATTATATATGTTAGCGACAATGTGCTTTTTTTTCCGGAAATGTGTTTTTTTCCCCGGAAATGTGTTATATTTTTCCAACTTTAAATCATTTTTCGAGCTCGTTTTTTTAAAAAATTTAGGAATATCTTACCTTATAAATTTCAGACAATAAAAATTTTTTTTCTAGGAACTTTTAAACTTAATATAGTTTATATCGAAATTTTTTTTATATATTTTTTATATATAAATTATAAATGAGCCAAAGGTTAACCACGAAATTGTTTATAGTTCATAAGATAGGTATTCCAAACATGAATGGAATGTACTTCCGGCAAAACCAGATTTTTAAATTCACATTGCCCGCTAACATATACAATATATTTACAAAATAGTTTTCTTTCAAAACATATATATATATTTTTTGGGGTTAAAAACAAAATAGTCTTTAGAATAACTGCAACGAAAATCAAACAATGAAGAAGAAAATATCGACAGAAAAACCACTACATCTTGTACTAACACCAAAAATGATACAGTATTATTAGCAAAAAAATAATTAAATAAACCCTTATAATAATGGGTTTCGGATTTCTAAAGTAGTAGAAAATATCATAAATTAAATGACCAATATTACGTTTCTTTTACTGCTGAACGCTAAAAATTGGTTACACCTTTACAACTTTGACCAGAATATCAATGATGATAATAACGATAATAAGGAACGTTTGGAAGGATCATTCGCCAAGTCGGGACCTGAAGGGATAATGGGATACCGCGATAAGAAAAAAGTGGCCATGGATGATATAAGTCATAAGGTTATAACCGGTGATAAACTTATAGCCGACGCCTTTAGCCACAGAGACCTATTCTATTACAGCAATAGATTACCCACAGATGATTATTACCAAGAAATGTATGACGAACCGAGCCAAAGCCGGGAAAGAAAAAAGAAAAAAGGGGTTAAATGGCCTTCAAACTTCAGGGGCGGTCCGCGTATCATAATGGGCAATGACTATAAAGAACATAAAATAATCGCGCCATTTGAAGGGGTGTCTGGTCCGCCTCTGGTCGAGATTCATCTCAACACCCTCATATTGATAAAGAACGACACCAAGAATAATTATCATGGTGACAATACCCCATCATCCCTAGATGCTTCTCCCGCCAACATAAAATTGAAGATGTCAACCCACGTGACAAATGTACATGTTCTTAGCATGTTCCTCATCCTTTATGTCCTACCCGTTATCACTTGTGTGGGAATACTGGGTAACGTTTTGACAGTCATAGTATTTTTCAATTCTTTTTTGCTCAAGGTACCTTGCTGGTGTTATCTGGCCGCCCTCTCTTTAAGCGATTTTGGCTTTCTCTGCACCACCATGATTATAATAATCTCGTCCTCACCTTATTTCAAAAATGGCGTGGCGTGGGCACTTTTCAACAGCGACGGCATGTGCCAGATCTTGAGTTATCTCCACGAGGTATTCGCATCTCTCTCCGTGTGGATCATAGTTATGTTTACGGTAGAAAGATTTCTAGTAATATGCCGCCCTTGGAAGAAAGGGAGTCGTTTAAGCGAAATGAAACCGGTCTCGATGTCGAGAGCTAACAAAGTCATTTTCACTTTGACGGGTATCACGGCGTTGTGGTTTTCTTACACCTTCAAGATCCAAAAATTGGTATACAACGGGCTCGTTACGATGTTTATCAATCACCAGAATTATTCTACTAACGCTATAATTAATCCGAATAAAGAGCGCAATAATATATCCGACAACAGCACAATTCTTCCCCTAAGCGTCTCTACCAAACCGAATATTGATTCATCTAGCATATTCAACTTTTTTGAAAAAATCTTTCATAATTTGTCATTAAATATCACCAAGCAAGAGAGTCTGAGAAGGAGTCTTCTAAAAATCAACGACCTTAGAACGGGAGAGATACCATCAACGACACCCAAATCTATTCCAAAATCCTTCAATGACTACGGGTGCGACATAGATCCTGAATACGAATACACATCCTACGTTCTCAAGAATATAGAGACAACTGTCATGCTAATAGCACCTCTGTTTATCATAGTTTTCTGCAATATCATGATAGCCCGCAAATTGATCAATTATCGCGGGCTGTGGAAACGTATCAATCAAAAGAACGCCAGTATAAGGGCCTACCCGAATCCTTTAAAAATTCTGAGAAAAGGAAGCAATAAGAAAAAAAACGAAAATTTTAATAGGACCAAACACGTTGACAATCGTAAGCCCAAGAGAATTCCCTCGTCTTCCTCACAAAAGCCCCTCATTCCGCGCAGCAGCGATTTCCTCCAAAATGGCGATACATCGATCCATTCAAATCTCAACTGTAGCGTAAACGAAGATGAGCCATATGTTACTAAGTCCATTCAACATAATACCTTGATAAAGTTGTGCAAAAGAGAAAGTTCTATATTTTCGTTGCTAACTTGTATATACGACAACACTCTCAACTTAAATAGCCATCCTAATAATAATCTAGTTCTCAATCATGCTAATCTTGATAATGATAGCTTGGCAAAAAATGAAAATGAAAGGGATACGTATAATATTCACGATACAAAGATTGATGTTCTAACGTTGGGTGAGAATGATATTGTAACTCCTAACCCGGTAAAGGATATTTTGAATTTTGGCGAACAACAATCGATTGATTCCTCCTGTCATGTTGGCAAGTCCATCAGCTTCTACAAGATTATGAACAAATTTTACATTAATTCCCCTAGGAACTCGAACAAATCTAACACTACAAACACCACGAATGCTGACTCGTCTATCGATGACCAGAAACATGACCCTAAATCCAAATGTTATAATAAGATAAAAATTAAGCAAAAGTTCAAAAAGGTGTCCCAAGCAGTCAGTACAACAGGGATAATAGATTCTAGGGGGAAAAACTCCAAATCGCAAATGGCTGTCACAAAGATGTTGCTCATCGTTTCAACGGTATTTTTGCTTTTCCACACCCCCTTTCACGCCTCGCGATTCGCTTTATTCATGTATTCCTTGAAACGAAATCGTAGCAATAACCATGAAAATGATATGATATTTCACATAAGTCCTATTTGGATAACTTTACCGTACTTCCTCCGGCACATTAGTTATGCTATAAATGTTTTTTTATATAGTGCATCGGGAACAAATTTTCAAAAAGCCATCAGACAAGTCCAAAGGAAGATAATGAAAAAGTTTTTAGTCATGAATGGTAATATACCGCCTAATAGTTCTGGCATAATGAAAGGGAGCATAATAAGCACCTTCGAACCAAGTATCAACATGAAGGACAATACCAATTCCATACCGAATGACAAAATATACCTAAGAATATCGTCCAACCTCGAATTATCGAACAACACTTATGGCCCAAATAAAAATGAAAAGGAAGCAACCGTTTTATATAGAAGAAATGATGATGGAGTGTGGAAAGAAAATATTGGGGTGGATACGAAATCGGAACACGGCTTTCCTAACAATGACAACCTGTCCCTCATAGTCAATATAGATGAGGCAGAAAAACGATGTAAGGAGGGTTATTTGAAAAACGGCAGTATAATGTCGAAGAGGCATCATACCTTTCTCAAAGTTGTCGATAGAAGTGTTAGCTTTAAGATTGAGGATGGCAATTCTATGGAACAAGCAGCAGAATATCAAAATGATAACGTGAAATGCGAATCCTATCAATTTAAACGCTCTTATCGAGATGATGAAGATGATGAAGATAGCGATGGTGATGGTAAAAAACCTTTTGGGTATCAAAATATTCCAGCCAGACTAGTATGTTGCAAAGAAATGTTATTTGTTGACAGAAAGGCAAATCACGTCCACCTTCATAAAACGCGAGATGATAGCTATCCAAAAATGTTGTCCAACAACATATCGAAGGCGTACAGTATTAATACCCGCGATAAAATGAAATTCAAACTAAGAAGGAATAATTCGCGCAATAATTTGACTATGAATTGTATCGATCTGCTACTTAAATATTACACTGGCGCGTCTTCGTTCCATAAAATGGAGGCGATAAAATGCCAAATCGCTTCGAATGGCTTTACCGGCGCCAATTTAAATGTCAATAAATGTTCGGTTAAAAATGTGATGTCTAGGATGACAGGCTCGACCCCTTTGGAGCCTCGTTTACCCTTTCTGCACGATCTCATCAATCCCCAAATGTTCCAAAATCGAGATCTCCATAAAGACGATATTCAACCAACTCTAAAGAGTTACCATAAACCAAATTATTACTTTTATATATAAAATTAGTCGCAGATATTATTCAATTACTTTTGTATATAAATTAATCACGGAGATAGTAGTCGCTTAAATTATTGATCGAGATTAGTGTTGTTAAACGGCGGCTAAACTCAGAACTTCATCCAGAAAAAATACCCAAGCCTGAAGATTTTGCTCATAGAAGGGACAAAGGTCTAGAAATATATTGTCGAAATCTTGAGGTTTACAATATTTTTCTGGTTAAAATACCGAGTTAGTCGTTTTTAAATTTTCGGCTCAAAACGAGCCGCCGTTTAGCAACACTAATCGAGACATTATTAATCCACCATAACATTCCATTTGATCTCACAATATATATTTTTTAAATCTTCTCCTCTCCATCAAAAATGTATTAAGACCCCACAACATGTAAAAAATAGATACTCAATATTTCTAATAATTAATTCTATAGTCATTTATATTATTAGTGCAATATTTTAAAGAATTATTATTACATTGTCACACACATTCTATATTCATATATCATAATTATACTATATATATATAATTGCCTTAGACATATTTTGAAAATTATATATGTATATATATATATATATCGAATATTTTGTAAATAATTACTCAATAAAAAGTATATATTTAACATGGAGTTCATCTTTGTGGATCATATTAAAGTTTTTAAAATATTTATAATAAAGGGTGGTGGAATAGTGAATAAAACATCATTAATTTTTATTTAAGTTGAGTGATTTTTACTTATCAAATGCAAAATAATAATTATATTTATATAGAGTATTTGATGTTAACTCACCTAATATAAAATTATTTAACTGAATTCTGATATGATCATGTCAGAATAAAAGATGCAATATGTTCATGAGAGGTGTCATGTCTTTTCTATAATTGAATTATTGAGAAATTAATTGTGTATGATAATTTAAACTGTTTCTATGAATAAAGTCATCCGTTTTTTACCAAATACTTTAAGCTAAGGGGAAATCATAGAGGTTCTAGTTGGCTATATTACTCAGTTCAAATAGACACAATTTAATTTGTTTAAAGAGACATAGTTATGTATAATTCAAAATTCACTCATAACTGGGCAGGCCTGGTAGACTAACGTCCGAAGATAAGATAAAATTAACATGGCATCACATACAGCACAAGCCAGGGCAAATTTTATTTCGAGGGAAAAATATGAAAAGGCGGGAGAAAATTTTCCCGCGGACAAGTCGGTAAAACAGAAGTGGTTTAACTAAAAATTACAAATTATTAACAGTTTTGTAGTTATGACTCATTTTTAAAAAATCCAATTATTATATTGGAATTAAATATATTTATAAGGAGATTTGCTCAATCCTCCAGTCTCGTTACTAAATTAAGGTCTATCGAATGAGTTTTTCCGGAAACCAAAGAATCCAATGAGAAGACCCGAGAGCAGACTGGCTAAACAAAATCCATCGAATAGTCCTATTAAGATTTCAAAAATATCAATTCATTTTTTTTTTTAAAAATCAACATTAACAATAATTATTATCTATTAAAATAACAATTCAGGCAAAATATTTAGTTGATATATTCTAAAAATTATATACAACCAATGACATTGTGAGGAATACTCAGGTGGGATATCTGGTCGATATTGATTTGATGCCCCGGTGGGGGAGATCAAGATACTTTGGCCTCGTGATACACCGGTGATCGATACAAATGAAATCGATCAGAAATACAAATATTGGGAGATCAGGATTGGGATATCTGTCGATTTGATAACTCCGTGTTGGGAATACTCAGGTAGGATATCTGGTCGATACTGATTTCATACACCAGTGGGAGTTCAAGATACTTTGGCCTCAAAAATGATACACCGGTGATCGATGGTCGATACTGATTTCATACACCGGTGGGAGTTCAAGATACTTTGGCCTCATAAATGATACACCGGTGATCGATACAAGTGAAATTGATCAGAAATACAAAGATAAAAATAGATAGCAAGATTAATATTATAATAGATAAGTGAAGAAGCTTACCACCAGAAAAGGTGAAAGCTAAAAAAAGAAAAAAAAATGACATAATAATAATACTTAGACTTACGATAATAATGTATCTTAAAGCGTCGTTGAAACAAAATCAGCTGGACCTGCCATTTTAATAATTCATATAGTAATCACATTCTCTTGTTAAAAACTACTATCAAAATTGAAAAAATTGCTTCCTTATCATCTCGATGAACAGGCAATTCTTTAATTAAGTTTGCGTCAGGACATAGGAATAAATTGGGGTCTCGTTTAAAATTTTTAGGAATGATATGGGTAATCAAAATGACGTCCCCAGCTGTTTTCATTGGTGTACAACTTTTAATGAATGCATCGTCACTTAATATGTTATTGACAACAACATAATATTTCCGATCCTTGCTCAAAAATATAAACCCAATTTTTCCCAATCCCTCGTTCCATCATAACCCCGAATCAATTGCCAAATTGTTCCCCCCCCCCCTAAAATATATACTATAGATGGAATTATATGTATATAGTACAGCATAAATTATAAGTTAATAGAGCATCATATTGTAACCTAAAATTATACCATAAAATTCACAATTTCACGATTCTTACTTTATCATCATGACTCCAAGCATATAATTAAGTTAATACAGCAAACCATAAATTGGGATGTCCTATTATACAAAGACTATTAATTTACATTATTTTTCCTACTCCATAACCAATAACATTGTGATTTAATAAAAAAATTTTAAAAAAAAATTGTCGGGGCGGAAAAATATAGAAATGAGACGTGTCTCGTTCGAGGATAAGCGTATTTGGAACGCATCCGGTCCAATACTGCGAAGGACCGTATGTTTTATTTAAATTCTTTCTAAGGTTGCGACCAAAACTTGTTTCCAAAAGTTTTAAAACTTTTGAAAACTTCGGAAGACAAATATTGATCACAATTTTAATTTGGAATATTTATAATTCTTTTTATTAACCTTGAATAATAATTTTTTTCTCCTTTCTAAATTAATATTGTTTTTAATCGCACACACGTCTTTCATCTTTCATTGGGAACGTTTTTATGCTTGTTACTAAACAAGCGTTCCATATGAGGAGCGAGCGTTAAGGCAAAGATTTATTATATCAAAAATTATTAAGCGAAATTTAACATAAAAAGTTTTTTAAGTTTTATGCCTCATCATCCATAATAGTAATGATCATGGGAATTCGAATCACAATGATTGATTAGAACTTGACTGGCTTTTCAAAATGAAGCCCATCTTTAATTCTGTAACCAGATTAATGTGAGCCAGTTCCCCTTGAGGACTTAGATAAAACCACTGCTGCTATAATGTTGCGGTCCGCGTAAAGTCAAGGAAATCCGTTCCCTTTAGTAATCCAAGGCAAGAATTTAATTTTGCCTATTATTTACCATTTCCACGAGAATCGTAACGATATTCTATATCGGCATCTTTAACTTCATTTAGTTATTCCTTCAATGTTTAAAAAAATTGTGGAATAACTTACGCAGTCAGTAAACATTGTCGTGATAAATATTCCAATGATCTCTATCACTATCTTCATTTTTGAAAGAGATTCATCGTTTCAGGCCATATTCCCAAAATGTGGATCGAATCCAGGACCGTCGATTCTTTGATCCCGTTCCTTTAAAACCTCTACCCCAATCACCTAGGTTAGCTTCAGAAAAAAATCCTTCCTGCATGGGAACAAACCTCGAAGTTCTCAAGTAGATTCCCAATCACCGACTGAGCCACATACATTACTCGTTTATATTTATTTTATATACATTATAACCATGTTTGGCAGTGGTGATCCACATCTTTTAATATATAATACGTATTAAAAATGGGTCATATTGGAAGCTTTTTAGTAAATTTATGATGAACTTGGCACCGTCTAACATAAGGGCCCAATATGTTTGTGCAAATTTTTCATTTTTTTACGAATCGTTTTAATAAATTGAGAATGCATTAAAAAAGGGAGAGAAACAAAACAAGATTTAATATGTATACTTTATTTCATTAAATTATGTGTAGACTTCATCTCTAACAAAATAGCATTTGAAAATGCTCAAATATTGTGTTTTTATATAAGAACTCAAACTATTAAAATTTATAAAATGCGTCTTATAAGTCATATGATATTTAAAATATTTAAATTTCTTATAAAAAACATATAAAATTTATACTTCTTTTGACATATTGAATGCACAAATTATATACATATATATATAAGTATATATTTCTAATAAAATTGTTTGATAAAATGTAAATTATTTAATAATTTTACCTTGTCTTTTTTTTTGAAATTAAAAATATATTGTCCCAAATAATTAAGAATAAAAGTTTTAAAAAAAGTGATATTAGGTTTCATGCCACTATGAATAAGACTTACTTTTGATTTGCCTGTCACAAACGATCTTCCAATGTGACATGAATGAATTAAACAAAAATTTTGACGCTTATTATGTCAACATAATTGGGAGAATTTTTTTAAATGACATTCGGATGGATAACTCAATGACATATGATAATACCGACGCCATTTTGGGATTACACATTATCATTATTAAAAATTTTAATAATTACTATTATATGAGTTACCAAAATGGCGGGTCCAGCTGACATTCAACGAAGGTCATTGGCATGGCCATACCATAATTGATAACATTCGAAATAAAAAGAATGGAAGAGATTTTAAGATATGAAGAAAATAATATTTAAAAAAAAAATAAAATATTTATAAGATTTTTATTTATGAGGCAAAAAAAAAAATGTGCATTAGCCGGGAATCGAACCCGGATCTGCTGCTTGGAAGGCAGCAATTCTAACCTTTATACCACTAATGCGTATATAAATTGTGGTAAATAAAATGGTATATATGTATTTTTTTTTTTGAATAATTAATATAAGATTATATAAGATAGTAAAACGATATTATTTTACTCTACTAGTAAATAAATAAAATTATACAATTTATACTTATTATTTTACAAAACGCAAATGATATTAAAAACAAATAATTGTGTGAATTGGTCAGAGAAAAAAGTGTATTATATTTGTGATATTTTAAATTGATTGATGATATGGTGTTAGATAGGAAAGTGGCAATATCAAGATTTAGTATTTATTTCACTTGTAAGTAAAGTGTTGTGATGATTCAATGAAACATATTGACGATTAAATTTAAACCCATTCATATAAAATGATAATATTTGCAAAAATAATTA